GACTCCTTGGCACAGGGCAAGACCTCCTAAATAAAGATCCAGAAAGAACAAATCAAAGCTGGATAAATGGGATTGCATTAAACTACAAAGGTTCCGCATAGCAAAGGATATAGCTAGCAAGAGAAATAGAAATCCCACAGATTGGGAGAAGATCTTCACTAGCTATATAACAGACAAAAGCCTCATATCAAAAATAACCTAGAGCTCAAAAAATGAATCCCCCCCCAGCACTATTCTTTCTGGACCATACTAAAGCTACCAGCACAACTATGTTTATTGCAGCATTATTTACCATTGCTAAGATATGGAACCAGAATGGATCAAGAAAATGTGATATATATATATATACACACATATTTACATATATACATATGTACATATATAGTATATATATATACACACACATATATATATATATATACACATAAGCCAGGCCCAAAGAAACATAGGTCCCATGGTTTCCCTATTTGCAATAACTAGTATATGTTGAGATAAGTAGAAAAGGTCAAAAGCTGTGTACATATGACCAGATAAAATGATGTTAAGCGAATGAACCCCAAGATAGGGACACAAGTAGTTTTTTCTTTCTTGCTATTGTTTCTAATGTATTTGTAATGTACCATGTGATTATTTTGTTTCTTTCTATGTTCTTCCTCCATGGTATAACCCATGTTTTCACTGTATTTGATGTCAGTGCCCTTCATCTTGTATATACACTTCTCTAATTTGGGGAGGATAAAGGAAAAACAAAATGTTTAAATAGGGATACAGGTTGACCCATTGTAACAATGAGATGCACAAGACACTGTTAAAAAAATGAACTTTACAATTTAGGCGCAGGAGAGGGAGGGAAGGGATGGTAGGGGAAAAACAAAGGAAGAGGTAACAATGCTTGATAGGCTCTATGGTTTCCTTCATTTGTAGTAATTAGTATATGTCTAGGGTAGTCTTAGCAGAGGATCACAATAGCTCAATAGCTATGTGCATATGGTCATATAAAATGATGCTAATAGAAATGAACTCCAAGATATGGAAACAGGAGTTTGTTGTTGTTGTTGTTTTTAATGTACTGTGTGAAGTTATTTTTTTCTTGCTTGCTTTTTTCCTTTGTTTTATCCCGTTTTCATTTTTTTTTATTTTGGTACCCTGTGTCTTGTATATACGTTTATCTGATTTGGGGAAATAACAAAATAATGAGACAAAGGACAAAGGGTAAACCCGTGCAACAACAATACTCACAGAACATTATGTAGGAAATGAACCTTGGGGGGAGGAGAGTTGAGGAGGAGAGAAAATGAGAGAGGAGGTAACAATGTTTGACAAGAAATGTACTCATTACCTTACTTATGTAACTGTGACCCCTCTGTACATTACTTTACAATAAAATAAAAAATAATTCTTAAAAAATAATGGCCATATCTTTGTTATGAACACAAATGGGATGTGTGCCTAACCAAACTGGATAAGGCAAGCCACCCATACTTTGTGTTTATAGTTTCAACTTGGATTGGCTCTTGTAGCCCCACACATGGTGATATTTTGATTCTGGAGCTGTAGGTTACCTGTGAGGAATTTGAACATTGCTTGGAATTCATGTATCTCAGTAAAGTTCCTAAGTGATTAGTTCTTGCATGTCAAATTGAGATTTCCTGTCACTGCATAAGACCCAATAACTACCTACAATGGCATAGACAGTCATGTAACATGAACTTTAAGGTCATCATTTCTCTGCAAAATCCTTTCTTTGTATTCACACCTAGCCTTTCTGATGCCTTCTAGAATGGGTGTAAAAATATCTTAGTCTGGACCCAGGCCTGGGTTTCACTTTTGAAGTTTGTGCTTCCCCCAAGAGCTGTACTGCTGTTAGTCAAGAAGGGCATGGTAGGGTCTACACATGTATTTCCTAACTTGTAGCAGGTAAGAAAAGCCAGTTTATCAAAGGTCATGACAAAATCATAGTTATAGCCAGGCTTTAGTCATACATATGTACATATGGCCATATATACACATACAGCATTTAAATATATGTGCATATACATACAGTGTGTATGTATATGTATATGTGTATATATGTGTGTGTATACTCATGTAGACATACATGAGCTTGATTGTCTATATCTTGAGCCAGAATACTAAAATCTAAGTGTAAGAGGAAGTAGTAGAGCTTCTCACTTTACTCTTGACTCATACTATCTGTATGTATGTAAGTATGTATATGTATGTGTTTGTGTATGTATGTTTTTACCTATGCTAAGGAGTCCTAATGTTGCTCCTATTCCTTTTTTATGGTTTCAGGTATTACATGTATTTGTATATGTATGTATGTGTGATATATCATTCCATTTAGGCTACTATCACTAAAGATTTTCTCTTTATATTACTTGTGAGATCTGTTTCTATAAACTTTATATTTTTATGGCATTATTCAAAAGAATTGACATGTTAATATTAAAATCTCTAGTTCATGAAGATTGTACATCTTTGTATGTATTTTGGTTGTTTTTAATTTATGTGTGCTTTCTTTGGTAGTTTTCAATATAAATGTCTCATCCAGTGTTTGTCTTTTTTTTTCTTTTTTTTTGCTGTTCCTGGGGCTTGAACTCAGGGCCTGGACACTGTCCCTGAGTTTCTTTGTACTCAAGGCTAGAACTCTACCACTTGAGCCACAATGCCTCTTCCAGCTTTTTCTGTGTAGTTTATTGGAGATAAGAGTCTCACATACTCTTCTGCCTGGGCTAACTTCAAACAGCAATCCTCAGATCTCAGCCTCCTGAGTAGCTAGGATTACAGACATGAGCCACCAGTACCCAGCTGTCAAGTGTGTGTGTGTGTGTGTGTGTGTGTGTGTGTGTTTGAGAGAGAGAGAGAGAGAGAGAAAGAAAGTATGTGTGTATGTGTATGTGTGTGTGTGTGTGTGTATGTGTGTGTGTGAGAGAGAGAGTGTGTGTGTGTGTGTGTGTGTGTATGTGTGTGTGTGTGTGTCCTGGGCCTTGAACTCAGGGCCTAAGGGCTGTCCCTGAGCTTCTTTTGCTCAAGGCTAGCACTCTACTACTTGAGCCACATCTCCACTTCTGGATTTTTATGTGATTAATTAGAGATAAGAATCTTTTTAAAATTTTAATTTTATTGTTAAGGTGATGTACAGAGGTGTTACAATTACATAAGTAAGGTAGTGAGTACATTTCTTGTGAAACTTGTTACCCCCTTCCTCATTTTTCTCTCTATGAGATAAGAATCTTAAGGACTTTTCTGCCTAGGTGTGCTTTGAACTGTGATACTCAGATCTCAGCCCCACGAGTAGCTAGGATAACAGGTGTGAGCCTGTCAGTTTTATTCTAATAATTATTTTGAGATGAGATCTTGCTCATGCTGACCTTGAATTCATGATTCTCCCACCTTAGCCAATTTTGAGTTCCTATCGATAACTATTTGGTCATGACACATTCTATGCTCCTCTCCCACACAAAAAGGTACTGTGCAAAACAGTTATTGGGAAAAGTCAAATGACCTACACTGGAGACATGCATTCATTGATTTTGCTCATTTCAGATATTTGTAATTTTCTCTCATTAAGTAGTTATTTGCATTGCAACTATATGCCAAGTATAGAACTGCTCCTTTGGGTATTCCCCTCTTCCATCCTCATCATCAGCTCCTGCTAGATAATTCAGTAGTTAGTAGTTCCCCCAACAGTTCCCCCACAATTTCCCTTTGCAGTATTCCCAACACTGGTCAGATCAGTATCTTTAAAATGTAGATTAGATCCCAAATTCTACTCCCTTAAATTCCCCCAGAAAGTTCTTAAATCCTACACTTCTCTTGTTACCTGCATGGATTCCCTTCTTTTCACTCACTTGGATCCTGACAGTGGTTTCCTTGCTGTTACTTAAGCATACTAATTCCACTTTGCTTTTGTCCTGTGCATTTGTTGTTCTTCTGCTGACAATGTTCTTCTATCAGTTGTTCTCACTGTGGTTAATTTGCCTATTTCCTACAGACATTTATAGAAATGTCAACTTTTCTTTATCCCTACCAACTGTTATGATCCAATTAGAAACACCCACCCCAAAACAGTTTACTACCCTTCTGTTTTCCCACTTCAGAACTTTTACTACTTAACACATTGAAAAAATGTAAACTCATTGAAATAAGGGATTTTTGCATTATCCATTGATACTTCTTAGTTGAATAAAATAGTGCTTCAGGTGTAATATTTTGTGAATACATTAATAAGGAAATGAAAGCATGAATGAATATAAGAGCCAAGGGCCTAGTCCCTAATCTTATGATGCTAACAAACTTGAAATTAATGAATCCAGTTAATAAAGTCCTAAGGGGTAATAAAATGGGAGAAACTAAAAAGAAGTATCATAAACACTTTATAGGATGCCTACATTGTGGGATGGGTCCAGCAAAGGAAAGCCTCTATCAAGAAGAAGCCTTGATCAAAATGAAGTGTGGGGATAATGCAGGATCTTTAAGGCAGAGATGGGAATTAAAAAAGAAGAAGAAGGAAGAGGAGGGGGGGAGGAGGAGGAGGGGAGGAGGAAGGAGGAGGAGGAGGAAAGAAAGAAAGAAAGAGTACTGTATGTAGGACCAGAGAGTAATGGCCACCAATTCCTTTAAGAGTTAATGTATCTCACATTCATGACAAGAATGTTACAGATATTCCAGTTGCTTTCAGGCAGATATGAAGCTAGTCGGGTACACTGAAATATGTCTGTGTACTGTGCATCATCCACGTGATGTAGGCACTTAGAAAGAATAATGCCGTTTCTATACATGACAACACAACTCCTCATAGAGGAGCCTTATATAGTAATCCTGCTTTTCTTGATTTGAAAGCCACATCCTGTGTTCTGTGAAGGTCAAGTCTGCCCAGTGAGTGACAGCCTGTATGTCCATTGAAGCACATAGATGTCAAGCATTTATTCTCCTATCTTTGGCTTGACACTGGTTTTTTAAAAGTAAGTGGTTTTTCTTCTGTTTTGAATCAACAGGTTCCATTTTTTGGGCCTCTGTTTGATGGAGCCATAGTGAGTGGGAAGCTGCTGCCAAGCCTTATATGTGCCACGTGTATCAATGCCAGCAGAGCTGTGAAGTGCCTCATCCCACTTTACCAGAGCTTGTATCTTTTCACTGAAAATGGGTAACCTTTTAACATTCCCAGAATCTAGAGTCCTGGAACATTTTCAAGATGGGTAAGTATTACAAACTGAGTTAGAGGAAAGAGAGAATTTTTTTTAGTCTGCTTTAAAACTAACTGGGATTTTCATACCATTTGTTGCTTTTTATTTATTTTCTGCTCTATTATACTTGAATTTAATTCATAGTTTACTCACATAAGTCTGTACCTGAGAAGCTCTGACTATCATGAGGTACTCATGGCAACTTTCTTAACATTTCTTTAGGTATTTTCCCCAGGTTCAGTCTGTTTCTTTATCCATCCTCTGTGTCATAGGTCATTGTGTATAAAATGGAATGCTGAGCGGAATATAGCAGTCTCATTCAGAGTGCCTCCAGAACCCAAAAGCAAATGAAATGTCCCTAACATATCAAAAAAATGTGGCAAGTGCAAATAGAGTTCTGGGTGGCCAGAGAAATGAGAAATTGCACATGGTGAGAGGAGAGAAGGCATCCTAAATGAAGTTGCATTTGGACTAATTCCATAATCTTCCCTAATCTTTAATTCTTACTCCTTTAATTCCTGATCTTGTCTCTAAAAACAGAATAACTTCTCTAATTTTACTAACATTAATTAGCATGCTATAATCCTTCAAGTATAATCTCTAATTACAAAGAAAAGATTAAGATAGTGACTATATAAAATTGATATTTATAAAGCCATCCAACCTCCTAATAAAAAATAATTGGTAATTGGTAGTGATTAAAAACACTTTGTGGCTGGGTGCTGGTGGCTCACACCTGTAATCTTGTCTACTCTGGAAGCTAAGATCTTGGAATCCAGGTTTAAAGGCATCCTGGGCAAGAAAATTCTGAGACTCTCATCACCAATTAACCAAAAACAAAACAAAAACAAAACAAAACCAGAAGTGGAAAGGTGGCTTCAGTGGTAGAGTGCTAAGCTGGAACAAAAAAGCTCAGGGATAGCATTCCTGAACTCAAGCTCCAGGCCCTGAGTTCAAGCCCTAGGGGGACACACACACACACACACACACACACACACACACACATTTGTGTTTGACATTTCTCAGTACACTTTCCCCAACCTATCTGAATGATACTTTGCTAGTGGGTGTAGAGTGAATGATACATGTAAACAAATACAGTTCATGAAAAATTCCTTTCATTAAAATCCTTGTTGCTTCATTGACTTAAATTCTGCCTTAGACTTGCCATGTGGCAAGTTAGAATTATCATAGAAATTAGTAGTAAAAAAGAGCTATTAGGTCCCATCCTATTAGGTCCCTGCCTTGGAGCCAGGCCACATTATTCCTGCTTGTGTACTCTCTCCACTTTTGGTGGGGAGGTTTGGTGATGGCACTCTCTGCAGAATTTTACACAGCACGTTAGACTTAATCTTATGGCGGCTGTCAGTTTAGCCTTTAGCACGGAGTATTTATTTAGCATGCTTTTAAGGGAGCATGAAGGCAGAAATAAGAGACCTATTCGGTGATTGGCTAGTCCATTTTCATGTCAACTAGGATGATCTGGACATCCATTAAGTCAAGTATGTTGGACTGACAAAAAAAATCACTTAGAAATAAGGAAATACCATTTTATACAAACCCATTATAATTTTTGTCATGTTTCCTTTTCTACCTACCAAAGGGCTCATAAAATATATGTTTTTTATTGTGTTAAACACTGAATTAGTATGGCATCTTCGGAGTAGTCAGGTTTAGGGAAAACAATATTTTTTTTAAGTTTAAAGCACATATCACTTTAAAAACTTTTCAAGGAATTACATCAAGACTAAAGCTATTGATGTGGATGAGGGTTAATAAATTCTATACTGTATATATGTGCCAACCTCAATTATTAATAGCTAACAATTCCTTTAATGTGTTGTTAAAACACACAGATCCACACATATTTTGGCAAAGTCGAAATCCATTTGATTAGGCCATAGCTGCACATACCCGGAATTTACTGCTTCATTGACACATCTTAAACTTGAATTTTGAAAAACACTAAATAACCTAGCAAATCTAATTATGAGTGTCTAAATTTATCCATTTATCAAACAAATAGTTCCTGTGGACTGTCTGCTAAGAGCTGGGACTACAGCAAGGAACAGACCAGGTTCTTACTTAAATGCTTCACAAAGAAGACAAACAAAGGAATTGAGGATGTTTTGTGAAGAAATGAACCAGAGAGTTGGGGTGAACAAGGGACAGGGAAGCAAGGAGGTCTCTCCAAGTACAGAGTGTCTGGGCAAAGACTGGAGGATGAGACAAGCTGTTCTTAAGAAAGAGTGGCAACATTCAGACCAGAGGATACAGAGTCAGTATTCCTGAGTGGCAAAATTATGTTTTCTAGGTACAATGCTCAAGTTAATCAGGATTCTTGTGACAGCCCTTGAACTAGCTCTTGGCAGTCATAAAGAAGCCTCCTTGACTCTTTCTCCTTGAGAAGTTCTCATCTTCATACTGCATCCTGGAGTGAACAGCCAGGACTAGCTGAGGAGGAAAACAGTGGAAGGAGTTTAGGGGCTCTCTAGCCAAATGCATGCAAGCCCCCTAAGGGTTCAAAAGATTAGCAATGCCTTGGACTCTCTACCTGAGTGTCTAGAGTTGATTCCCTTCCTAGGGCCTAGCAGTATATTCCTTGGTAAAACTGTATTGTATATGAATCAAATCAACTGAGAAGGAAGCAGTTTGTGTACACTGCCCAAGAACAAAAGTTTAATTAAGGGACCAAAAAAAAAAATCTGAACCAGATGCTCATGCTTGTAATCTGAGGTACTCAGGAGGCAGAGATCAGAAAAATCAAAGTTCAAGGCCATCCCAGACACAAAAGTTAGCAAGACCTCATCGTAGTAAATAAACTAGATACATAACTAGAGGCATTAGTATGAGGATCACATTCCTAGAAAGTCAGGCAAAGATGCAAAGACTCTAACTTCAAAATAACCTAAATAAAAGGGCTGGAGGTGTGGCTCAAGTGGTAGAGTGCCTACCCTAGTTAAGGGTGATGTCCTGAGTTCACATTACAATATTGCCCCTGTTCTTACCTGTAGCCTTGAGATATTAACTAGTTTTGAGTGATAACAAAGAAAAGAAAACTCCATTTTTTATAAGCAGCCCTGTATCTACCATTTTGTTTCTAAATTTAGATTGTAATTGTTAAGTAAGACATATTTTCAAACTGCTAATTTTATCTCTTTCACTACCTTTCTGGGCGACAGATTGACTATTCTGTGAATAAAGGTCATTCTAAGCTTAGTGCTTGTGGGCTCATGCCTGTATTCCTAGCTACTTGGGAGGCTGAAATCTGAGGACTGTGGTTCAAAGCCCAACTGCCCACCAGAAAACTAGAAGTGGTACAGTGGCTCAAAGTGGTAGAGTGCTGGCCTTGAGCAAAAAAAATTCAGTGTCAGCATCCAGGCCCCAACTTCAAGCCCCATGACTACCAACACCAACAACAAAATCATTCTGTTTAGTTCACTTTTACAAATCCTTTACAGAGGGAACACATGCTTTTTTGTGTCAAGCATACATAGCCAGGCATTGAACCCAATGACAAATGAAGAAAAAAGTCAGTGGAATTACTTTGGAAGAGTTTTGCTTACCTCCTTGTCCCCTCCTAGCTAACAATTGATATTTAATTGCTATAGAATAAGGTTAGTTGTGATTCAGGTTAATGTAAGACTTGACTAGAAATAGAAATGTTGACAATTAATGTGCCAATTTTGTTCAGTGATATTCAAAGAAATACAGCATTTCTGATTAAGCTGTCTATTGGGGGAGGGGGCATTACTGAAACAAAATTGCTTGTTTTTTGGATTATTTTTTCTGAACAGCAAATCTAGCTTAGAGTCAATATCAAAGGAGTTCTTGTTTGGTGTTCTCTTGGCTAACTGATCAAACAGTTGGAACTATGTAGCAAAGGCCCATAGAAGACTGAAAAATACCATTGTCTTACATGGTCACACAACACCAAATGTGAACACAGTAGGGCTGTGTTGGGAAGGCACTCTCTGTAGGGTGCTTTCAGCCTTGCTTCTTTGTCCTTCCTGGGTTTTCCTGTAACTTCCCCCGTGGGCTAAAGCAAATCTGTTATGTGGAGCCTTCATCCCTGTGGCCACGGCTCTTCTGGATGATGAGAGCCAACTCACCTACCATCTGCCTTCTCTATCCCTCATGGGCATGCAGAAAGCCTATTCCTATGCCTAGAGCATGGCAAATGGGAAGCTTGCCACGTGTTATGTTTACAGTTTCCAAGCCAACTAAAGATTCCAAAATGAAGCCCTGGTCGGCTGATAAAAGTTTCCAAAACCATTTAAGCCAGGGCTTTCATTCCCCTTGTCAGATAACTTGTTTCAGGGAAAAAGTTGTCTCACAATATGTGGCGTGCCCATTAGGAGCAGTTCACCCTGAACCAAACAGATGGTGGCTTTTTAAAATAAATGTCCACTTCAATAGAACAATAGTCTCAATGCCATTCATCCTCTCTAGTAGCTAGAACTATCAGCATTTGGTGGCGAGTCCTGGGCTGCCTAAGAAAAAGTGATTTTGTGCCTCATTCTTTCACAAATGAGATTTACTTTCATTTTCCATTAACATATACATTTGATTGTACCAAAGTTTCTCTCATATCCCTCAAAATATAATTTCTAAATTCTGATCCCAATTTATAATATCTTCACAAATGACCTCTCCCCATAAAGATCTGACAACCCTGTTTGTTTCTTCTCCAGTGGGTCTTTAGTTCTTCCTGGACAGATCTTTCATTTCTCCTATTCATCTCCATGAACCTTAGAAAAGAAGTTTTACCATACTATATGTTGTATGTTGCCATTCAGAATTAGTCATGCATTTGTCCATGTTTAAAGAATTCCTACAATATGCCACTCACTGTCCTGAACATTAGGAATTGAAATATGAATAAGGTATTTCAAAAGAGAGGACAGTTTTTGCTTACGAACCAATCTTTAAGGAGCAC